CCTATGAACACATTAGTCCGTATGAGATCTAAGAAAGACTCGACGTATATAAGTTCAGCATACTTTTAACTTGAGATCATGCATTCTGTATCTGGTCCTGTTTATGTAGTTCTGACATGATAACGGTCTGCAGTGACTGGATAACACCTTTTAAATTTCATGTGTTAATACTTGGCCATAATATATTTTTTATGAGGGTGTTTATATTAAAGCATGTGGGTATGTATAGCTTCTTATTATTGGACATTGATTTTATTCAATCATTAGCTTTGTTTTTTTTCTTGATTTAATTTTCAAAAATTTATCCCGGTGTGCAATATATGTGAATTCCTTAGAAGTTGTTTGGAAATTATGCCAATATCAATGATAAAAACACAATCTGATATGAAATACATTCATGTCATATCTGACGATGCGATTCACCTGTTGAAATTCCTCCTCGATAAAGTCTACGGTAGCACACGCCACATTTCAATTACTTTTTACTCACGCCGATAAATAATTTCTCGGCGTGTTATTGGAAACTCCATATGAATAATTCTTAATAACAAAGGCTAGTCATGGTAATAATGGTGATGTTAAAGATAATGATATTGTTATTGATGATATAAGTAATGATAATGATAATAATAATAGTAATGATAATGATAACAATAATAATAGTAATGCTAATATGAACAGTATTAACAACGATAATAGCAGTTACAGTAATATAAGATATAATAATATAGATGAAATAATTATGCTGACAGAAAAACATGAAAATAATCTCTAATAACTGCAACGTGAAAAATATTTGCCTAGAAACATTGCATCGCTACCCCGGAAATAAGTAATTAGTATGCATAAACCCTAAAGATATTTTTTTTCAATAAACTATTGAGGTATATTTTTGTACTGTCGGACGTCGTAAGCTTCAGCATATCTAATATTTTCTTTGTTTATTTTTCTGAACAAGGAAGCCCAGTAAAGCCTTCAGGAACTTACATTTAGATTATTTTCTTTGGCCAGTCACAAAAATAAGTGAATGAATAAATATCGTAACTCTTATTGTAATGAAACGTACAGTGTAAACAAGATGAACTACCCACATGTGTATAATAACCAATAGAATCTATTACAATCGTTATAGCGCTTTGTTAAACACAGTCACAAGACCCGTTTGTCAGAAACATGCTTAACGATCTCAAACGAATGCATGGAATCAACTCAATATATCAACTGTATAATAACAAAAAAAGGTCTTATGATTAAAGAGAAAAAGCCATTTTATACCAAACTTACAAAGGTTATTCTCAAACAGTTACCATACCACCCTAGAAATAAGTCTAATCTCACCATCAACCACTTCCATGTCTAACTCCCTCTTTCTCTTCTCCCCTTCTCTCTCTCTCTCTCTCTCTCTCTCTCTCTCCTTCCCCCGACCCACGCACAGGGCATGCTACGGAAGACAGGCAACAAGCGAGAGAGCCTGAAGAGGGATGAGGGCGGCAGCGGCGGCGCATCCTACCATCCTAACGGCGGAGGCACCATGTCCCCGACCTTTGTTGAGGAGACGGAGGAAGCCATGCTATAAGGAGGGGTGGCACTGTCGAGGCTGATGCGACGCGGAGTGGCACTGGAGGCGTGGGTTCCGTGAGGTGGCACTGTGGCAAGTGGCACTGTAGGTGGAGGCTTGAAGACGGAGGTTGATTTTTGTTATTATTATTATTGTTATTATGATTATCATCTTCATTATTAATGATGTAGTTTTCACTGTTTGTGTGTATTTAGGTTTATTACCATTAGTTATTATTATTGTTTTATTATGATTATTATTATCATTAGTAGTAGTATTATCATCATTATTATTGTTGTCATTAATACTACTGCTATTACCATTGTCTTTATTATTATTACAGTTTTATTTTCTTACTTGAGAAAAATTATGTCAAGATTCACATATGCAATCATAAAAGCAAAATAAGTTAGCTACATATGAAAGTATAAATATTCTTATTATTGAATTTGCATTAATCAAGTGACAATTTGTTATTGAAACATGTTTTCGAATACGTAATTTCTTTTTCATTTATTGTGAATTCCCTGTTCACTGCTTTTATCTGTATTTTTATTAATATATTGTGTCCTTGTGTCACAGAAGATAAGCAATATGCAATATGAATTTTCATTAATCATTATCAGTGCATATATTTTTTTCATTTTAACATGAGCGATAGCATATGAAATACCGATTTCATTAAAGCCAAATAGATTAGTTACTCCTGAAATATTAGACTATCAAAGAAAATGGGAAAATCGTCACAATGGAAGCTAAAAACGAGTGAAATAGATTCATGAGTAAACAAATAAATGATAAACAAGAATTTAAGTATAATTAAAGAATTTGTTAACGTGACTGAAAAGTTTATGGTTGTAGTTTATTAGAAGTTTATAGTCAAAGATTACTAAAGCCAATTCCATGTAGTCTAAAGTCAACCTCATATCCCTTAGTTTAATAAAAATAACTATATAAAATAAAAAAGAATATATTTGCTTTTTCATGATTTGTTTAACTGCTACCAGACTTTGCCTTAAACATTTTCACTTCTTAAAAAGTAGATTCTTATGTACACTTATGTACGTGTTTAGATACCTTATACTGAGTGAAATTTTGTATCTTTCCTCTTATTTTCATCTTTCATTTTCAGCTTTTTTAATGTGTTATTTATTCATTCTTCAATGTTATGTATTGCTGTTGATTTTAGAATTCTGCTCAGCATGAAAATTCAGATGGATTAAATTGATTGGGTTTTTGTTTTGATATTCTTTAGTATAATGGTTCTATCTCTAGTAGTATCATTATTTTTATTATCATTGTTATTATTATTATAATTATTATAATTATTATCATCATTATTATTATTGTTATTATTATTATTATTATTATCATTATCATTATTATTATTGTTGTTGTTATTATTATCAGGATTATCATCATTATTGATATTTTTATTATTACTATTATTGTTATTATTGTTGTTATTATTGTTATTATTATTATCATTATCATTATTACTATTATTATTAATGATGATTTTGTTATCATTATTAAAATCGTTACTAAAATCTTTGTTATTCCTGTAGTTATCATTCTGATATTGCTGTTGTCGTTGTCATTATCATTATTATTATTATCATTGTAATTCTTATTATTGTTATTACTACTATCATTGTTATTATTATTATCATTGTTATTATTATTATTGTTATTCCTGCTATCATTATTTGTTCCTGTGACTCGATCGTCTTTATGAAAATTCAAAATGCATGTATTCATACAATTTATTTGCTTACTTATTTTGGATTGTTATTACCCATCCTTTTACATTAATTTCAAAGATAATTATCGTGGCTCTTGCAAAGGAAAGATACTGTATCAAGACCCAAAGGCAGATCTCTTTGTTGCAAATGATGCATTGTGTAACTCAGTAAAGTGTGTAGTCAATTTTTCCTGTCATGTAAGGTAATGATAGAAATAAAGTTATAATCACACTTGGTATGTTTTCATTTCACGACTCAGCAGCAAACTTATGTTAATTTGTTTGTGTGTGTGTGTGTGTGTGTGTGTGTGTGTGTGTGT